ACAAGAGCCTTAATCACATCTGCAAAGTTCCTTTTGCGGATAAGTAACTACATTCACGGCTTCCAAGGTGGAGGACTAAATGTCTTTTGGGGGTTGTTATTTAGCCTGCAGCAGCACTGATTTCCTAGTTTCAAATCTAGTGTCATCTTCTCTGCCCCTCTCCTGTATTTCTTCATATTTAAAGCTATCCATTACTTTAGGAAAGGCTTTTTCCCCAATTTTCAGGACACAATTATTATTGATATAAAATCTTTACTGTCTTTCCTAAAACTCAAGCCTCCAAAATAGAGGATCTGGATAGTGTGTGTGCATCCATGTGTGCATGTGTGTTACTGCAGATCAAACCCAAGGCCTTCTCATGAGCTATATCCCAGACATTTTATATATCTTTTGATACAGTGCCTTGCTAAATCACTAAGTTACACTGAACTTGAAATATTCCTGCCTCACCCTCCAGAGTGCTGAGATTTATAGGCATGTACCACCATGCTTGGCTGGATCTCTGGCTATCTTTGTTTGTTGTTCTACTCTGAGTGCTTAGAACAGTGCCTGGTTGCTATTAAGTCACTGTTATAATAGAAGTTGGACGAGTATCTCCCATTCCAAGTTCTATACCCTCATTATTTACTGTCACTAGCAACTTCTAGATTAGTGTTCCCCATGGGTCAGTATTAGCAGTTTTCTAATATGCCAGGGACACAGTTCCAATCAACCTTTGGGTTCTCAAGTCTGCACCTCAAGCCCAGAACTTTATTTTGCACTTCCAACCTTAGTCTTGTCCTGGCTGTCCCTCAAGCATGGCAAATTCACCATGATGCATCTTTCCCATTGCCCAAGCACAATCAAAAATTTTTCCTTACTCTATACAATCCACCTCATGGAATAAATACCAAGGTTACCCAGTAGCTAAAAAGACTGGGAGGCATTCCAGCTCTCCTGTTCTCTATTCCCCCTTCACCACTGCCCTCACCCCAATCCAGTCAGCCAGACTATGAATCTCTGTCTTACATATTCCTGTTATTTCTGTCTTACCTGTTCAAGTCCTCACTGCAATGAAACAGGCCATAAATGAACTCACCTTGTTGTTCCTCTTGACTCCTCCTGAAGGTGTTAGAATGGTAACTGCATCTCAGGGTGTGACTCAGAGTTGCTGATCCTTGCCTGCACTGCTTCCAGTGTGATGACTGGGCGGTGACTGATTTGCATACCACATGACCCTGGACCTCAGAGTCAACTGGGCCAGGGATTGGCATTCATCTCAAAAGTGCTATTGCCTTTTTTCTTTAAATTTGGTCAGCCAATTGATAACACAAGTGATTCCTTATAAAATGCAAGCTGAGTAAAGTTCCTATTTGGGGATTTCAAAATAGAGAAGCTGAAAGAAGCTGTACTAACGTTGTTTAGGCTGCCATATTGCTGAACAGAAAGCTCAGAAGAATTACAGGCATGAGCAGGCCGCAGTTACGAGGAAGCAGGTACTGTGTGTAAGCAGGGGAGCTGGTAACCCTTGAGAAAGAACATGATGGGAAGAAAATAAAGCACTGTAAAAGGGTACTATCTCAGTTTCCCATGGTTCTTTAGTTGTACTTCCTGAATATGCCTCATCATACAGATTTCTACTGTTGGATGTTCATGAGATTATTGCAATATTAAAACAAAACAACCAAGAGCCCTAATCTGAGCGAATTCCCTTTCCTACAATAATCTGACTAAAGAGTTCGTTTCCAGTAAGCCTTTAAAATGTTACAATGAGACGTGGAAGAAAGGGGCAGTGTGACCACTCTAAGGGCAGCAACAGAAATGCCTGGACTCTATGTTTATTCCAGTCCTTCTTGAAGCTTACTCTATAGGGAAGGCAGTAAAAGCTTTTAGCACTGTTTCTTTGGGGCCTGGGTAGTAATCTTCTGAAGTCAAGCTTAACCTTTATATAAGCACAAGTTTATCCCTGCAAATGTAATTTCATAAAGTCGTTGTTACTGTGAATATCACATAAAAATCACTGTAATAAGTGGCATAATATTGTCTGACACTAGTAAATGGTGAGATAGTCAAACTATTTTTTAGATATCATGTTTTTAGACAACTGCCATTCATTTGGCCAGCTTTTCAGACTAAAAGGAAATGTAAGGTTTTCTAGGATTCTTAGTTACATGACCAATAACACTAGACATAATCAGTACTTGGAATATGAGGTGTTCAGAAGGTATCTTTATTTAGGTCTCTTACTATTTCTATAAAATGTATTCAGAGAAATTTCTATATAAGATTTAAAAGAAAAGCTCATTGTTTCAATACCCTTCTTGGCATTCTCAGACAAGAGAAAGTCTCAGCCACTTTTAATTGTTATTACATTTATTATCTTACATTTTCTATGAATCAGAGGTCGAAATGTGATAAAAATATGTTGAATGTTTAAATTTTTTTTCAAAAAATGAAGCAACCAGATTTATTTAGCTTAATATTTCCTCTGATCTAAACAGAAAGCAGTCAAAGAAAACCTAAGACATATATCCAACTGCCCACCCCCATGAACTCAAGATATCCTAAATAAAAAATGCAGGGACAGTTCTGCTCGACAGAGAAAGTTATCTTCGCTTCTGGAAGATGTTTCCACGTCCAATTCCACATCCTCTTCCTCTTGCAGCCACTTGGGCCTTCAGAATAGCAGCTTTGCCCCGGCCAGCCCCTGAGCCTTGACTTTTATTTTTCATGCTCTTTAACATGGGTGCATTTTCCAGCATGTCAGGCACAATCAGAAAGCAGATCTTGCTGCCTTGGATGTATACCTGCTCCAGCTGTGCCACTCGGCCATCTCTGTGCGTGACTCTGATGCTGGACACCTGGCAATTCACGTTGCCCTCTGTTTCAAAGAGCTTCCCTCAACTGACTTCACCAGTGTTTGTCTCACGTGTTACAGTGTGGCCCTCAGCCGCATGCAGGACTTTAATCAGCACACCAATAGACATCTTGACAGGGAGACAGTTCTGAGGTCTTTTTTCACCCGCTGCGGTCTCCTATTCCCCCTCCTCTTCCGCATGAGCAGCTAACAGGAGATATAACGGGGCAGGCTTGCCGAAGGCGAAGGGCGTACCCCGCGTTCCCAGAATACCACACGTTCCCAAAAATCAAATGTTTAAATCTTTAAAATCACAGTAAAAATCATTGCCATTCATTCCCCCAAGATACTCCCACTCACTACAAACACACATATCCCATTTTTCTTGTTGATTTCTGAAGCAGTTCTGATAGTCCTGTTACTGTGTGCTTACCTCCATGTCCTGAATCAATTCAAAACATTTACCTTTGATGGTTATTTTGACTTTGGAGAAGAGCCACAAGTCTCCTAGTGCCAGACCTGGTGAAAAGGGATGAAGAGACGTTGTTTTTATAAGCCTGTTGTTTCTTGGGCCCTGGGATGCAGCATCCACGGTACTTTTAATCACACCTCATAAAGACAATCATGAAAAAGGACCTCCCGAACTGCTTCAGAAAGTGGTAAGAAAAATGGGCAACTGTGTTTGAAGTGAGGGGATGAATGGTAATGTGCATTTTACTATAATAAAATTTTAAAAATTTATATATTCCTCATATGGTACAATCATCCCTTGTAGGCACTGTGTAGTTGGCTTCTCTGACTAGAGCTTCGTGAATGGAAATTCAGATCCTGGGCAGGGTGGCAGTTCTGATCTGGGGCTAGGTTGCTCTTTTAAGCCTGAGTGATTATCTTTATTTCCTTGAAGCTGTAGTCTGATGTCCTTATTTTCCTGCTGGCTGTTGTGCAATTCAGTGCCTACACATTATTCCAGTTTCTTGTTGGATGGCACCAGTAGGCAGCTCACAATACGGATGTTTGCTTTCTTCCAGGCTAACTGACGCACATCTAATTTACCCTCTGAAAATGATTGACAGAGCTCTTGGGCTTCTAAATGACTCACCCAATTAGATCAGGTCCACCCACTATCATCTTCCTTTTGTCATATAATATAACATCATTACAGCATAAATAGTTCTACTGATACTGAAAGGAGAGGGAATTATACAAGTGGATAGCACTAGGGTTATCCTACAATACTATTACAGGGCTCAGTGAATATTTGTAATGTCCAGTAAGGTATGTTTCAGAAATTTGTAAATTATAGACACTACTGTTGTTAGATTTGTTTTTCTATTGTCACTCTGGAGGGCTTAAATTGTCTGCAAATGGCTATTGGATCCATAATGGCTAAGGGTATTGTATCTATTATACAGGGAGGCCCCTCCCACCAATCCAGGCAATACTAGAAGCTCAGATCTGGGGGCAAGACTTGGTTTACCAGAGGGATGGCTGGGTGACCTGTGGCTAAGTCCTTGATACTTTGAATGCTAGATATCTCCTCATTTGTAAGATGAGGACAATGTCTAAGATTGACTAGCTTAGTCTATAATTATTCTACAATTTCTAAGACTAAATCATACTGATCAAATTAAAATCTAGTAGCTCACAATTTCCAGATTCATACAGATAGTTCATAGATGAAACTATCTCATAATAGATATTGCAGTGATGCTTTTAGAAGAAAAAGGCAGTTGTTTTTAAATTAATTCATTCATATAATCAACTCAATATAAATAAGGGCATAAAACTATATTTTCCATATTATATATAGAATGGTAAAGAGTACTGCGCCTTTAGATGACAAGTCTGTTCCGTTATGATTAGAAGTAAATTTCCCCCAACCCCCAAGCTACTATAATTTGACAAAAGTGTCTTATAAGTAAGTTAATTTATTTGATGATAACTGAATAACTATCAAAGGAAGTACTCAATAGTACAAATGAATTTGCCTGTATAAAGCATGTTGAGATTCTTATATATATGTTTGGGGTTTAAATTTTTCTTTTGTCTCCTGAAATGAAGCTTCTTTGGCTAGGATAACTGTTCTCTTCAACCTAACAAAAATGAACTCTAATTTTAAACAAGTATTATTAAATTCCATTGAAAAAGGCTTCATGCAGATGTATTCGTTAAAACATTCCTTTATTGACTGTGTACAGCTATTAACATTTCACGTTTCACTTTATCTATGGAGTGGAAGAGCAGTTACTCTTTCATTAAAAAGCTAAGCCCTCCATGGCATCAGGAGAGTGTGGACAGCCTTCTTCCTATGAACAGTACTGTCCTGTTCATGAGAGGTGCTTCCATATTAACACAAAGGCGAAACATAACTAAATGGGTTTTGCCCTCCCTCTGTCACCGTCCTCTCTGCCAAGACAGTCATATTGTACAAAAGGCCCATAAACACACAATTCCCACATGGTACTTCCAATAATCAGAAGAGGAATGGCAGTATTTGTGTGGTGTCCCCGAGTTGAGAACTTCTCAGGGCTCTGTGAAGCTGCCAAAAGGAGTAGGAGGCCGTGGTCATTTCTTCAGGAGGTGCCTCATGGACAGAGTGGGTGGAAAACCGTGAAGGCATGAGTCAACATTCAGCACCCTGCTGCTCAAGTTTCAGGAGGTGTTTCTCAAGTTTTGAGATGTTTACTCGATGCATCATGAGAAACTGGCCATTCAAATGAAAGACAGGAATGTCAAATTGATACCTCTCATACCAAGCAGAGTTTTCTGGAAGGGTGATGTCCACCTCCTGTAAAACAAACTGAAAAAACAGACAGGCTAAAGCTCTGTATTTTAGAGACCATGGAGTGAAGCAGCAACTGCAGTGATTAACTGATTCTCACACGGCTGTAATGCTGAGAGGTTTTGCTGTCATTTGTTTGTTTTAGGTTCACAATGTTTTAATGCCCCTGATTTAAAAAACTGGACTGATTTCCATACATGAGGCATTTCCTACCTCCTGATCTTGCTACTTTTCTGTGACACCTGCTATATTCAGCATCAGGGCCCTTCCCAGTTACCTGGGAAGTAGACAGGTCCCACCTAGGAAGCTGCCTGAAAATCAGGACCAGAAGTGTTTTGGCAGGAAGAACAGCAACGATATGATGGTTTGCTACGTGAAATCACTACCATGGGAGTTACAAAATAAAGACAAAAGGGATGGGGACAAAAGTTTAAAGCATGTATGTATAGATGCACCTGCTAGTTAACTTTGATTCATATTAAGATCAGAGAAGGAAAATCAGTATTGTTAGAAAAAAAACACTTAAGGATAATGAGTTTTATGGAAATCAGCACTAAACTCTCTCTGAAGAATAGAAAGAAAATTTAAATGAAAAATCATTTCATCTCTTTTCCAAAAGGATCCAGGCAGATACTTTATATCACATATTATATCCACTCCACATACATAAAAGCCACACTGTCATATATTACCCTGTTTTTATAAGGCTTGAGTAGTTCTTTAGCTTCATCACAAAGCGGGCATGGATCCTACATGAAGGAAAAAGATCAGGCTGTTAAATTTAAAGAATGGTGTTTGGCCTAACAAAAACAAAGCAAAGCAAAACAAAACAAGCAGACTGACATGTAGCAATTGTCCTTATTTTAAAGGCCAGTTTTCTATCAGATTAATTACAGCTTTTTGCAAAACACTCATAGACTCTTTTAAGTGGCTAGAATTTCAGGGTTGTTTTGTTTGATGTTTATCCATATTTATGTATGTACAATAAATTCAATTACTTTGTCACTGACCTAGCTATCTCAGGGTTGTCCTTTCTGAGCCAGGAGCATGTCCATGGTTTCTGACCCTTGGCCTGACTGATACTACAAGTAAGTTGCAGCCACTTCCACGCTATTTGGACTGTGAAGCACTGGACCTTACCCTGTTTTTCCCTATTTAACCTATAGGAATACATACATCAGAACAGTGCGAGTGTCCCATCTTTAAAAAGAGAAACTAATCTCTTCATATGGCAATTGTACCGATTTGTAATACTTTGTTTTTCTTATTGCAAGTGTCAGCAAAAGGTATCCTAGACTAATGTTTTACTTAAAGAACAAGGAAATTTTAGTGCCCATTTTTGTTCACATTCTTAAACCACCTTGTGGAGACGTCTGTTGAGAATGCTGTGGATTGTTGCATATTTCAAAGGATTCTCAGCCGTTAAGTCTAGGAAAAGGGACAAGTCTTACATGAGCTCAAAATAACATTACTGATTCCTATATAAAATCTGGCTTTTAACGTATCAGGAAAAGATGAACTATTATGTAAAAGTGAAGCCGTTCCTCTAGTTTAACTCGCTGTATATTTTGAAATAAAGACTGAAAACTTTTTGAATCTTTGTGGTCCCAATTTCCCGTGACAGAGTTAGGCTCATCAAGCTGCTATTACTGTTACCATCATCAATAAACATTATGTTTATTTGTGATACTTTAAGACAATCATGTGGAAATTTTCTAAGAAAGTGTTAAAAAGTAAACGTAGGATCTTAAAAGTAAAAGCAAGACAAGAACATGCTAAATTGCAGTAGCACCAAATGTATCAATGTTTTGCTTTTATATTAAACTTGAGAAGAGCCTATATCTAGGTGTTTTGGTTTTGAACCTGTGTCTATGGAAGTGTGTACAAATTACACACCCAAATATGTGCACATATTTCTATAAAGAAAGCTTCATCTCACTTTTAAACATAACTAAGAAACCAAAACACAGTAAGATTTCATGGTGCAGACCCCTCAAACATCCTTCTCTAGCATTACTTACAGGACTTGTTATTTACTGTGTGCCTGAATTGAAATGGACATTTGTATATCCACACCCCTTTCTTGCAGCAAGCTTCATTTTGTTCCATAGTAACTATTCTTGGCATGTGGCTGATTCCATCTCTGAACAACAAATACCTCTCCTAGGTTCAAGCACTCAGAACAATCTATCTTTTTTGTCTACAGTTAGCTGAGGGATGAGCTAATCAGAGCCAACAGGCAGCCATAAGACTTTAGTGGAATTTCTGTACATGTCTGAGGTGTGAGATCTGGGACAGGGATTTCTGCAGTCATCCAGAGTAAGAGCCAGAGTAAGGATGGATTTAACCCAGAAAATGCAAAGCTGAAGGCACTGGTAATTAGTTCTTGAATCAAGCTATTCCTGAAATAAGAAACACTCATGAAATTTTTTGTTTAAGTCACTCTGTAAAGTTCCCTCTAATACTTATAGCTGATAATAGCTGATAAGAGATCTAATGTCCTAAGTATTTCTTTCATTGGACTGTGAATCCTTGAAGGTGGGAGTGATGTTTTCTTACGTGCCTTATATGTTCAGCACGTATATTAAGTTGAGTGGAAGACTGGTGTTTTGATATAGTTTCATAAATGTTTCTGACTTGCTGAGCTGGTGCCAAAACTGGAAAATAGTGCAGAAAGTAGGCCAATGAGCATGATTTGCTTTATGAGATTATTTCATTCTTATGATTAACTCATATGCATTTCCTATCATAGATTCTCAGGTGATAAAAATTTTGGGTTCTATAATTTCCCACACCACAACATATATTCATAGATATAACAAGTAGTTTAGGTTAAATATTTAAACAAGAAACTTATTTAAAAAACTACTTGAACTTTGTTATTACTGTCAAAGTTTTTCAAACTGCTAAAATATCTACAACCTGAAAGATCTGTTAAAAAGAGATTGTTTTTTAAAATTACTGCAGTTATTTCTTGTTTATTATAAATTATATGCAGTGGTGTGAACTATCACAAAGAAACCCCTAATATTTGTACTATAAATTGCAGGGCAAAAGATGCTTTTAATTTTTTCTTAAGCCAGCCTAATGGCTTAAAAGTAGTGTTATAGGTAAGAAAACAAGGATAGTGAATTCTCATTACACCAGTATATATATGGGTTCTGTATTTGTGAATTTGTCTACTTGTTAAAACTTATTTATAACCTTCAAACAATACTTAGAGCACTTTTGTAGTCATTCATGAACCAGATGCACAGTGCTAAAAAATGAGTCCATAGAAGCACATATTTTAAACTGAGGTCCAAAAAGGTTATGCTTTGCCTTTTTCAGCTCTTATACTGCAAACATAAGTCAGTATCTCCTTCTAGGTCTGAAGAATACTATATTTTTCATTTTTATGCTTTTTTATTGGCAATTTTAAGAAATAACCACCAAGCATAGTGTTGACATGCTATCTAGTGTCTAAAGCATAAGCAGGATGTAGAGAAAATATGCATGTTAAGCTTCATTTAGGCATGGGTTAATAGAGAATTGGCTGTGGGTACAATGTTAACAAAGCAACAGTATACATTGAATAAGGCACTTTCAAACAGCAACACACATAAAATAAGGTTATGTATTAGTTGAGATGTCTCCAGATTAGCTGACAAAAATACTATGATCAGAGCCTCATAAGAGCTCCGTATGTTTCATATGAGCAATGGTCACTATTTGCTAATAAAGTGTTCATGATGCTTTTATAGAATGGTTTAGCAGTTGCCAATTCAGAGCTTCTGATAATTATGTTCCATAAGATACCACAGGGGCTGGGGATTTAGCTCAGTGGCATAAGCGCCTGCCTTGCAAGCAGGCAGTTGTGAGTTCGATCCCTGGTACCGATAAAAAAAAAAAAAAAAAAAAAAAAACCATAAGATACCACAAATAGCTACAAATGGCAAGAACTAACATTTACAAATGATATACTTTTAAAAATTATAATGCATACATGTTTTAATGTAAGGGTCAGATGACTGTGAAGTACAGAAACTTATCTTCTGAGAACTGTGAGACAAGGCGGTACCTAGGAAGGAGACAGTTACTTCTGCTGCACTGATGAAGACCTTGAGGAGCAGCTCTGAACAGCATGCATTCCATCACCTTTTCTTTCAGACTCACTCCCCTTTGTCTACATACAACATTCTTTACCCGATAATTTCAATATTTTGCACTTTTAAGTAGTCGTCTGACTTTTCCACCCTGTACCTTTGTGAACAAGGTCAGCACAGGAAGAGCTGTCTTAGACACAGAGAGATTTCTCAAGAAGAGTCCAAAGGAGGATTTGGCAAGCTGCATGCTATTTCCTTGAAACCGGAGCATCTTAATTCTGCCAAAAGAAGTAAACCAGTAAACTTACCACTTTAGGTTTTACTCTTTACAATACAAACAGTAAGGTGCAAGCTCATAATGGAATTAGAAGATTTCAGAATTGCTTCTTGGAGTCCAGGGGTGTCAGACAGGCCTAGATTTTTGGCAAGTCTATTTAACAGCTCAACATTCATGGTAACCCCAAACAAAACAGAAGTTGAATTGGAAAATATCCATACTTTCAGATTAGCTGCATGCCTAATCATTTGGTTTCTGTAGGTAAACTGCATGAGTTTATTAATATGAAAACTGTATTACTTTTCTCATTGCCGAGACAAAATACCCAACACCACCATTAAAGGAGGAAAGATTTATTTGGCTCACAGTTTGTAGAGGTTTCAATTCATAGTCAGCTGGCTCCAGGGCAGGGTGGCGTGGCAGAGGGGCACTGCAGAGAACAAACTGTTCACAGCAGGAAAAGGATAGCAAAGCAAGCAAGGAATGACCACAGTTCTTTTTATCCCTTATATTTTAGCCAGGCTACTTAGGGTGGCGAGCACTCTTATCCTTAATCCTAGTGCCTTTGATTTTGTACCATCAATCAATTCCAGTGTCACACATTCTATATCAAGACACTTCTGAAAAAGTCCTACCAATGACTGCATAAGCCATAGCAAAAACTAAATTTCTCTTGCAGTATCCTGATGATGACAAAAGTGAAGGTTTATCTTACTGGCAAACACTCAAAGACATCTATCTAGTCACAATCATCACAGTAAATAATTAAATGGCAAAAGTCCCCAACTGAATGTACAGGTTATCTCTTATGAGATCTACTACTCTTCTACTGTAAGAGATGGGAAAATACTATGCTATAGTTAGAGGAAGTACAGTGGTGGTGAATCAAGTTAACTTGTCAGATACAAATACCTCTGCTCAATTCCTAAAGAAGTATTTTAAAAGGAGACTGCCATACCTTTCAAGAACTTCATACATAAATGTACTAATGTTTCTAGTGGAGAAATTCCAGTGAGAACAGCTTAACAGCAGCATGTCAAACATGCTGCTACTGAAGCTCCCTCATCCTGTTACTGTGTTTGACACAAGACACCCTATTATTCCCACCTATTCTTCTGAGCCTCTAGCTTTGTTTTTAAAACTACAAATATTATAACTTCATTTTGAAAAACATGTGCACTGTTGGCTCTATCATTTATCAATATTCCTAAAATGAACTCATTCCTGGGATCAAGATTTCTTCACTTTGCTTTACTCTCACTCTCAAACTTTATTTATCACTTTTCTCTCCCTTACTTTGGCAAATTTCAGCTGCAGAATATTCTCTCTTTAGTCTGTGAAGATCATTTCTTTGTCAGAATCTTCATTTCCTCTCCCTCTGCCTGAAAAGCATGGAAGTAGCTTCTCGTTTGGCCGGATTTCATGTCACTTCTTATGGAGAGGCCCTAGTGACCGCATTACCATGCTGCCTTCTCTTGCCTTTTACAATCTAACATTATTTATGTCCCTTCTACTATAATGTTAATTCTATAATAGCAAGCATTTGTTCACTCCTATATCTCTAAGTACTCACAACTGGCATATTGTAAGTGTTTAAATACTTGTTTGAATGTTAAAAATATTGCAGTGAGCCTTTCCCACCCTCTGAAATTTCACCTTTAACCCTGTTCAATTATTCGTGTATAGAGAAGTCACTATGTAAAGGTTATATGCTTATAAAGTCACTATGTAAAGGTTATATGCTTAATGCTCCTTAGGGTGTCCACAAGATTTGGGGTTGGGGCACTGTAGCTGGTTTTAACCTCTTCACTGCCACCATGCTGCCTCTCCCTGCTGTGTTCCACAGAGCATGACAACATTAATTAAATGTTAATCTTCACTGGCAACCAGGCTCCTCATGCAAGATTAGCTTTAAACTCATTTCAAACAAAATGATTTGACTTTAGAGAAAACCACCCACCCGTATCAAACTACAGTAGGGCCGACAGAACAAAAAGATCTGCTACTGATCATTAAAACAATGATCTTCACTTCACTTTCAAGCCCTTACTCTTCCGCTTCCACTCAGATATCCCTTCTAACTGATCCTAACAACGTGTAAAAAGGAATGTGGTAAGAATTTTACAAGGGTCTGCTATCCAAACTTCCTCCAAGGTAGGAAGTGACCTGAACAATTTCACAACATTCTGTGGTAGTCTCAACTACGTGTCAAACCCTGGAATCTAAATTTTTCTGTAAAAATTAGCAGAATCAACAAAACAAAACAAAACAAAGAAAATTCCAAGAGGTGAGCATGGTGGGAGCTTCTAAACACAGCTTTGTCCAAACAGCATGAAAAGGAAGGTGGTTGTGGTAGGGAGAATGTTAACCATATTTATGATATATATAGAAATTTCTATATGATATGTGGTATTGCACCCAGAAAGTAATGCTACTGGCACACCATCCTAGGATGTTGTTCAAAGAAATTGTACTGTACATGGAAGAAAAAACCCTTAAAAATTGGCCTTATTAAGGGCAGAAATCCAGCCTTTAGAAATCAGGCCTTCTATCTGTGGTAGTGACCTACAACTGTAACAACACAGTGAACTATAGCTACACGCTTTTGGTGGAGCGACTGAAGATTTATTGATGTCTGGCTGAGAATGAAAAGAAAACTTACTGCTTTTACTTAGCTGAGTTGAAACTGAGGTGTTAAGGCTTTAAAAAACCCTCACATTCACAATGGAAATCTGCTTCAGTATTTGCAACATGACAGAACAACAGCATGTGGTGTTGGTTGCATCCAAGACAAATAAAGCCTGTCATAGTAAACAGAGTTGCTATTCAATCCAGATTTCCTAGAATATTTGTTCAACTAACTTAGGGCTAACTAATATTTTCAGTGGTGCTACCACCATTCTACATACAACTTGTTCTCTTCGCAACTGTTACTCTACATTTCTTTTTTACATATTTTTGATCACTTAAGTATAGTATATTTACTGAGAAATGTGTAAAAGTGACAGAGAAAAGGAAAGGAATCAGGGAGAGGAAGGGCAAAAGAGGTCTTGCGAGGACAGAAATGATCACTGTTTATATGCAAATAACAGTACCAAAATAAAACCCATTACTGTGTAAAACTCATATGCACTAATAAAAAGATTAAAATAAAACCAATTACTACCATTTGATGAAGTATACAAAATTATTATGCTATTTTATAACCTGCATATTTTCAAATGCCCTAAGATACATGTATATTACTATATTGTTCAATTAACTTAAATCTTTGAAAGTATTATAAAATTATATTACAGTCTGACATAAAGAAAAAGCTCTCTCTCTCTCCTAGGCAGATATTAAGGCTAAAATTCCTTAATTCTTTTATCCCATTATATGCTGGAAAATAAAATGAAAAATGTTATACTCCAATGGGAGCTCTCTAATATTCTTCTTAGAACATTTTATTAACTGTGTAAACCCTAACACCATTGCCGTAATGTCACATTCACCAAATCATGCTACTTGAAGTAAAATCTTAATGTGGGCCACTCTGTCAATATGACATTTCATTAGTTCGATTACTTGTGAACAGTGTGTTAGCACTACAAAAGAATCCTGAAAAGCAGTCTTTGGTTGTTAGCTCACCACTGCGAGAAGACAACACTTTCTCAATGTCATTGAATTTAGTCAAGAAATATATGTCCTTACTATACACAGACACAATTTTAGCCTTTGTGTTTTGTTATATGCCTCTGTGATATAAGCAGGAAGAAAAAAATCTGTGTTCATAATATCAAAGAAGCAAATTGGGTCACCTTTGTCATAGAGTTAAAAAAAAATGCAAGAAGCCTAAGAAAAGGCATAAGCCTGGATGTGGAATGTGCTTAAAACAAATTCCACTGTCCAACAATAAGGATGGTGACTCCTGCTGTTTTACGTTCAGTGCCAGTGCAAAGCATGGATCACCCTAAAAGAGAATGGGAATGCTGGCTGGCCTTTCAACAAAACTGAGGCTGACTTTGGTGGTCTTTATGGTAAAATCAAATATAACATGGAGGGAGGAGAGACTGGACCTATTCAGCCCTCCTCAAAGCAAGATAGGGATGATAACTTTATAGCATTTTCCCTGCTAAGCACTGAACAGCATACCATTAAAGCAGCCAATTACAGTACAGGAAACAGTCAGGGTCGTGTGAGCCTTTATTAAGGATTATTCATTTCTTGCATGAGGAGCTGCCCTAGCTATGGCTATGTATCATTTATGTGGGGCTTCTGGGTTTTTCAAATACTGGATCTTATTAGGAGGGAAACAACATTGTTCTCACTTGAGTAGATAAACTGACCTTCACTGACCAGAATTTTATTCATACAAAGAATCATTTGGCACACTAAAGCTCTACGCTCACATGATCCTTCATCAGCAAGCCGCAGTGTTAGCTCATGTGCAAAATCAAAGTCTATACAAGCACAGGTACTGCCTTAGTTATTTTTTTTTTCTTTTTTTTTTTTTTTGCCTTAGTTATTAAAAGATAATGTTGGAGCTTCTTCACAAGAGTATCATGTAAATTTAATGTTGAGCTGACATTAACCAAACACTATTACCATAGTTCTTGCTGAACCTGTGTGTTCCATAAAGAGAGCTCCGAGCTTCTGCTTAGTCATCTGTGCCATGTGAGAAGTTAAGTGCTCCATTTCACATTCATTACCACCTAAGTATGATGTTTCTATTTTTAAAGAGATGAACAGAAACACACACACACGCTTTAGGGAAAGAACTCCATTATTTTAGATTATTGTAAAGCATATGAAATCACCAACTTCATACACCAGATACATGCAACAAAAGTGCAAGGAGCTGTTTAGTGGGTTCAGGAACAGAATGGTAAATTTTTAACTAAAATAATAAAGTTATGTAGGTCTCACAGTGATTAGTGAGCTAATGATATCATTCACTCATTTGTACCACAGTGAGGAACAAAAGAAAAGCTGAAAGTGAGTAAGTGATGATCCCTATTCATGAACTAAAAAACCTGGTGGGAATACACACATACATGCACAGGTGAATTAGAAGTACAGGGGGCATAACCAGAAGGCCATACAATGGACAACTTCAAATACTATAAGAACATGTGCTGGAAGTATGATGGACTGAAATTTAAGGTCTTTTTGAAGCAGATATATCTTAAATCATTTAGAATTTGGATACATAGACAAAGGGGAAACACTTCAAATTTAGGGTCAGACACAAAGAAGCTGAGACAGGAATGCCACAGGTGTAACTATTAATCTTGTCGTGTTAATTTATTGGATTAAGAAATGAAAAGCAGGTAAGTACTGCACACTCCTGGGTGTGTCTGTGTGGGTCATGGAGACATGGCCTTGGGTACTATATATGGTTCTCTCTGGCAGTATTTTTCTGCTCTGCTTCCCGGCTGTCAAGAACTAGGCAGCCGTGCTCCCCCACACCCTTCCGGCACCATGTCACTGCCATAGAGCAGGCTGGCCGTGGGCTAATGAGCAAATTAAATCTCTTTTTCTGTACATTGTGGGTATTATGTCTCACTATGTGGATATCATAGGCTAGAAAGATGACTAATACAACAGGGGAAAGCCCCAAACAGAGGCAAGAGATTCCTTTTAAAGAAAAGTAGAAAGTAAGTTTGGAGGTAGACCTGGATGAAACTGTGGATGAAACATTGTTTAATGGTAATTAAACAATGTGTGATGTCATGTATCTTCTGGGAACCAGTGATGGGGTTTGAACAAGTGGGGTGATAACCCAGTCTTTGGGAAGATTAACCTAGCAACAGCAGACACAAGGTGTTGCACAGAAAAAGACTATAGAGGTGGGAAGGAGTTAAGAGAGGTTCATTCAACAATCTGGATATAGGGTTAAGTTTCTCACTTATTCATTCAACAATTATCTAAATGTTCTCCATGTATCAGATGCTATTACAGGTGCTGAGAAAGTGATAAACAAGAAAGCACAGTATCTTGACCCGATAGCATCCACATTGTAGTGAAGAGTCTCTTTAATGTCAGGCTTCATCATCAGATAAATACAAGAAGGAGCAAAATATGTGATCCAACAAAGGGAGATTCATTAAAGTACTCTCGGATCAGCTGTCATTTGTACTGAGACTAATGGATAAGTGTCCAAAGAGCTGAATACTTCAAAGAGGAGTACTTCAAGGAGAAGGAATGATAAATACAAAGGCCCCAAGGTGAGGACAAATTTGACTCACTGGAAGTAACAGAAATAATAATAATAAGAAGAAAGAAGACCCTGGAAAGAGCTCCGAGACAATCTAACCTTCAGAGGTGGGTAGAGAAGAGCCAGTAAAGGAGACAATAGGAACAGTTTGGGAGGAAAACTAGGCAAGTATGGCATTGCAAAAGCCAGTGGGAGAGTTCCAAAATGGAGACTTGCTGAGAATAGAGGCAGTGAAAAATGTACGCAAACCAGAAGACGTGTGTCTCATATTACTTCAAGGGAATTAATTCTCTAACCAATGCCCACTCCTAAAATGAATACCTTGACTGATTCTTACTTAATTCAACATCTAAACTAAAAAGAGGTATTTCTGAGTAGGATACACAGTGAATTGGAGGTAGAGGCACAAGTTGACTAAGTTAAAAGGGATAATATACATAAAAATCTTTGTGTAAGTCATCGGGCAGAATAGAAAAGTAAAGCTTAACTACAGATTACTAGATAATACTAATAGTTGATATTGTTATAGATAATAATGATTCTACTTATAGAAATGCACTTTTATTGCTCTCAAATGGAAGATTTAAATCTATAGTAACAGTAGTTTCAGAAATGAGAAACAGCAAAACTGAAAAGTATTTCAAACAAATAGTTGAAACTTTTAGATTCTGAGCATTAGTCAAATAGGAGTTTCTAAGACATATCACTGTCACACACTCTCATCACTAACTCTAGGTGGGACTAGCCAATAAATACCTAGCATAAGATACTGGCTTAGTTTACTCAGGTTTCAAAAACTTCTAAAACAGAACACTGACACCGAGTTTTTGAAGAACTGAAGTTTCCCATTCATAGGTCTAAAACGAAAGCCAGTTCTTTTCCAGTAGTCGCCTTTATTTTTCAAAGGTGGAAAAATGTAAAACCATTACTATTTAGCCTATGATATCCACAATCCATGTGTGTCAAAACAGAAACTGCCTAGGTATTGGTAAAGTTGGACTTCATTATAATCTTTAAAGACAGACTTGCTCCAAATAGTTCTAAACAAACTGTCTAGAGAGAGCAAATCATTTAAATGAACACAGCTCCTACCAACTCATCAGCCAGAGTAATTAAACATAAATGGTGTAATTCTTCATTGAGTGCATTAAAGTTACTCTTCATGTAAGGGTTCAGTTGGAATTCTGCATGCTTGAACTCCGAGTATAATTTTTAGGCAAGGATTTCATGAATATATATCCCAAGGAGAAAGTCAACAGTCATTAACTAGTTCGGAGACACTGGGAAAATCCTCACTTCTTTGAGTCTCAGTTCTCAACTGTCAAGTGGAAATTATACCACTTGTTCTTGTCATTTTCCAGATACGCAAAGGAATCATGCATATAGGCTTTCAGCCTTAAAAATCCTGAGCCAAGAAGGGGAAATCCCATGCTGAAGAATTACCACGTGAATGACCTGTAACTACATTAGGCTTTGAACAAAGGATGGGAAGTGTTTTTACTATTAGCGGCCTGAAAATACTTGGTTCTTTAAAGAGGATGATAATTTACAGACCCAGACAAGAGTGTAAAGGCATTTGTTCATTGCCAATTCTTTTCTCTCACTCTTCAATCACAACAGGGAAGCCTGGTGTCGAAAGGACTGAGTTGGGAAATAGGGGTGACACTAAAAGGGCTTGGCCCTCATCTTGAAACTGTGGAAAAGTTTGCCTCCAACAGAAGAATAATGCAATTTTCCCCCTATTAGACACAAAGAGTACTTTTAATGAGTGATCTTCACCTTGGCATTCCCTTCCATGTGTAGAAATGCTACTGCTTTTGCATTGGCCGGTAACAAGCTGACAAATGTGAAGCAGAAGGGGGAAAGGAACCTTCAGTGTAAGCATGAGTTTGTTTTAGAATCTGTAGACCTTAGCCGTCACTGTTTCCAGATCACTGCTTCAGAGGAGTCTA